AAACTCCACCCAGAAAGGTCCCGGACTGGGATTTGAACCAGCAACCTTCTTGCTGAGAGGCAGCAGCTCTACCAGCTGAGCCACCGTGCTGAGCAATCTGTAGACTCTTAGAATTTACAGCTGGATTTTACTGCACTCAGTCTGTGTGGGTGAACATTACTGCTGGGTAGGAAATGGGAGTAGTACAACAACAACAGCTTTAATGTGTGTGTGTGTTCAGACAGCAGAGAAGAGGAAGGCCATGTTGGATGAAATGGCCACACAGCTGAACCAGCTGAAGTCCGACCACAAGGAGGCGCTGTCAGACCTGAATCTGCAGCACGAGAAGGAGGTGAGGTCATCTTCATCACGTTGTCTGTTCATCTTCATCACATTGTTTTGAGTGACTTCCTGTCTCTCGTGACCTTCTGTCAGGTTCTGGGGGTCCGAGCTCGGTATGAGAAGGAACTGCGAGGTCTCCATGAAGACAAGAGTCGCTGTGAGGAGGAGCTCCGACTGCAGCTGCGAGAGGAGAAGGTAAGCGTGGAGGGTGGAGGTCTGGACCATGGCAGAGCAGCAGCATGATCCTCCTCCTGGTTGGTTTTCAGGCTCGCTCCAAGGAGCTGGAGGGGTTCCAGCTGCAGGTGGAGGAGCTGCAGGCTCAGCTTCAGGCCATGGAGGGAACCAAAGGATGGTTCGAGAGACGCCTCCAAGAGTCCGAGGTGGGTGAGGAACCCTCAGGGTTCTCAGCAGTCAAAGGTTAGAAATGTTCTGCTGAAGTTTGATGTGTTTGAGAGCAGGAGAACATGGAGAACAACGCTGTGCAGCATCAGGAGGACATCAGGAACCTGCAGGAACACCACACCCTTCAGCTGCAGGTACACTCCCTGAAACAAACGAGGGGTTTGTGTTCTCACGCTGAGGACCAGCAGAGCAGGTCCTCCACTGATGGACAGTGGACCACTGGTGGGATCTGAGATGGTTTGGACATGTCCAGAGGAGGGACAGTGGTTTGGACATGTCCA